GCAGTGCAGTGGTGGGAGGGGAGCCGAGAGGCACAAATCAAACAGAGAATTTCCCCCTCTTGCAGCAAACAAAAAAAAAGAAGCAAAACTCAAAGTAAAAGTAAAACATTTTCATGCAAATGCCTTTGTTTAACCATGGAATATCCCCAGCATTTGCAAACGCCACCCCCTAACACAGGGACGGGGACGTGTGTGTGAGTGTGTGTGTGGAGAGTCTTGCGGCAAAAGTTTTTCCCGACCCGCACACACTCGCTCGCTCGCAGCTGCAAAGGCAAACAAAATCAAACCGAGCGCAGCAAACAACCAACAAATATTGACCAGGGGTCGGCAAGGTGGAAGGTTCCAAGAGTGGCTGGGGGCGGCAGCAGAAGCAGGGTCGATCAATAAAGAAAAAGAAGTGAAGGAAAAAACCTACACATCATATCATATGCATGCCCCCTGCCCCCTGCTAATGGTTGGCCATTAAATTGGATTTAGCATTCCGATTGAGTTGTCTGTCAAGTGCAAGTGCAACATTCAGTTAATCTCTGATCTGTCCAGTCAGATCTTCCGCAGGGAGAAGCAAATCCCCCAGTCAATTCCCAGCTAATGGTCCTGCCATTAAACTAGATTAAAAATCTATTTAACCATCGTGACACTGGCCAAGTGCAAATGCAAGTGCAGAAGAGAACTGTCATTTGACAGACAGTTTATCTCTCTTTCTCGTGTTGGTTATGTCCTGCCAGAGGCGTAAGCTCATTTTGCATTCGCCATGACACTCAATTAATGTGGACAGACAGAGCTGGGACTGGGGCCCGGACCCGCATAATCCTTTGCCCACTTTCAATGGCTACAACTTAATTATGTGGAAGCCCCAAGAAAGACAGCCGAGAGCGAGCACTTGACGCTAATGCCCGGAGCCACTTGAATCTCAAATCCTTGCCCACGCACCAGCAACAGACAGCAACCAGCACTGACAAGCCCAGTAAGACGGCAAAATTAAGAGGAACATCACAAGATGCGATTAACAGATGTGGCTATAGGACAAGCCAAATACCCTACGTATGAGCAAGCCCATCGTAGATTTCGTGGGAAAACTAAAGTAGAAGAACCTCAATATCTCATGGAAATGTTTGCATATTTTCTCTGACAAAACAAACTCCATACAAAAGTCGTTGGACTGCTTGGAAGGGCACTGCAAAAAAGGTCTGTCTCAGAGAACACAACTTAAGTGCTTCATTACGATTTTAATTTGGCATTTTACCTGCCCCAAACGCTCAACTTGGCTTGGCCCCGTCTTGGTCTTGGTCTTGGCCAACTTTGTCGCCGAGTTGGTCTTCTTAATTAGAACAATTTGCCAGGACGACAAGTGGTCTTAACATAAACTTGACTAAAGAACGCAAAAATCGCGACGAGCCTCCGCCGTTGGCCTTGTTGAATGTTGGTTCAATGAAAATAGTTGGGCCCCACAGATTCCGCGGTGGGCTTTCAGCCACCTCCAGCACGCGTATTTTTCTGTCTATTTAAAACAAAGTTAACTGAATTTTCACGCCCAAAACCAAAATCGAGAAAGACAATGGGGGAAGGCGGGTGCCGAGTGCCGCTGCCGCCTGGAGCTATGTATATGGCGGTGGCATGGCGTCGCAAAACGCTTTATTTGACAAAGTAATTAACTCTGAATAATGCGCATGGAAATTGCCGTCAAGTGGCCTATAACTTGTCGGGCTCGGAATATTTTACCTTGTTAATCAAATGGTAAGTTGAGAAAAATAATAATCGCTAGGGCAGGGGAGCTAGCTTTGACCAATCAATTGATATCGATCAGGCGGAATAACAAGTGTAAGAAGTTCTCACCAACTAAATGGAATGTTGGCAGAGGCAAAAAGAGCAACCGTTTTAACGGTTAACGTTTTAACGCACTCACATATGTATGTACTTTGGTTATGACCGAAAATTCGTTATAGTTTTCGCTCTCGCTCTCATACCCGTCTACTAGTACACCTGTATGTGTTTGCGTGTGTGAGTGTCCAAGAGGTGTATGTAGTTTCTGCACTTAAGCGAGCTTGGCAGCTAATTAAAATTAGCACAGCTGAAAAGAACAGCCTCTCTTTCTTATTTGTCTCACTTACATTACACAACGAATATCCTTAGCCACAAGAAACAGAAAATAAAGAGAGTTCTAGACGCTGCGCAGACAATTATAGATTTTATACCTTTTCCAATTTTGATTCACAGTAAATGTATCCGCACTCTTGCGGGCACCAGATAAACACATATATTGTTTATTTTTCACTTATTTTTTTAAATAATTTTGCTCTATCAATATTACACGCGACACAAACAAATAATATATGAAACGCACTCTTTTTCTTCTATGCATCTTCTTTTCTCTCTTTGCTCTCTTAGGAAAAGAACGAGGGCTGCACACGCAACTGATCGTTTTCAGGGCTGCGCACATAAAGTTTTTTAGAATTGTGCAGGGTATAGTAATTAGCAGGGTTTGAGACTTAGTAGCAATGACTAATCAGCAGCTTAGATAGGTATAATCTAAGAAACTATTTTGCTGAGTTGTAAGTAATAATCACTCAGTCATATTTCATTAATCTTGACTTAAGCACCTTCACACCTTGCCAAATGAAAGCATAATTCGCCCCACCTTCTCAGCTCTCATTACTTGCGGTCTCACTACGGTTTGCGCTCTTTCTCCTTCACTCTCACATATTTACATTCAAAGGATCCCGTTACTTGCGTTCTGCCGCGCTCTCTTGCATATAGTGCGTATGCTTTAGTTTTTGTTTTTGCTTTGCTCTTGGACAACCGTTACTGTTTGCTTTTGTTTGTTGAACTGAAATCAGCTAATCCGACTTTAAATTAATATATCAGTATCATGATGTGAGCCAGGGAATATTAAGTAGAAGGTAAAACAGTGCAGAGTCAAAGTGTAGAGGAAGAGTTCCGCCTAGATCTGGGGAAGATTGCAAAAACGAAAAACTGTACCCAGACCACTTCAGAGACGACAACTCTAACTGGGGGTAAAAAGGAGATTTTAAACCAATTACCAGCTCTGATGGAGACTTTAAGTTATAAAATAATCTTAGAAAAGAAGGCCCCCGAGCCCGGCCTTGGCCAACTTGTTGCTGGACGATGTCAAGAGACAAAAGCCATGGGAAAATATGCACATTGCGTGGGTCGTTTAATGTTTCGGCCACAGAGAAACACGAAGCCCCTATTGAAGTTCCATAGGACTTGGTCTAATATATTTATCTGCTAAAGTTTCGCAAGTTAGTTGTGAAATCGAATGATTTCCTACACAAAATGGAATCGCATCGCACACTCCAAACAAATTTACGAAAATAAATCTCAATTTGGTCGCCTCGACTGCTTGTTGCCGGTCACTCCTCGTTGTGTGGTGTGTCTCGGGGTCTCCCTCTCCATTTGTAGCGCAGCTCGAACACAATTAGAGGAGCCATGGCCGCACAGGGCTCCAATGACAAGGACCTGGACGTTGATGGTGGCCTGGGCGTGGGCGTTGGCGTTGGCGTTGGTGTCGGTATGAGCGTGAGCGTGAGCGTGGGGCAGGGTGAAACTTTTCGCTTTGGTAAGCAACTGACGCCATTTTAATAACGCAAATTACAGTCAGCGTTTGTATAAATTTAGTTCGCTGTGGGTGGCGGCGGCGTGTGCGGGTGGGGTTTGTTTGAGTGGGTAAATGGAGCGACACAGGCAGGGCTGTGGGGTGGGGTGGGGGAGTGGCAACTGTTGCTGTCACATATTGCAGCTGTTGTGAAAGGTTGTTTACGCCGTGGTGCCATCAACAATGGCGAAAAACAACTCTAAATAGATGCATAATTTTCTATGGATATGAACGAGCTATTCAAGCTAATGGTAAAGGACTAATTAAAGGATATGAATATAGTTATGACTGCTTTGAATTGAGTTTAATCCTTCCATGACCATTGATTGTCCTTCTCAAAGGCATCGCATAAATGGGACAAATTAAATTGCCAACAAAAGCTGATTGCCCCAAACAGGACACACAATGGGTGCAGTGGCTTACAGGGAGCTCTCGGGCAGTCCATTATCAAAGGATATACACACAGATACATACATACATACAACTGAAGAGTCGCCGATTGTCTCTGTGTGTGTGTGTGGCATGATTCGGACAGCAAAGCACAGCAGGAGGCAGCCGCCGACTGCCTGCCTGCCTGCCTGTCTTTCTCCTGTCGCTCCTTCTCTATATCTCTGTCTGTCTGTCTGCCTGTCTGTGTGGGCCTCGAGCCGTGTGGCATAGCCATAACGCTTGGCAGCAGTCCAACTACGAAATATCCAACAATTGTTGCCATAGCTACTGCTACTGCCACTCCTGCTGCTGCTGCTGCAATTTTGCTTCATATTGTTTGCTGATTTCGTTTCGGTTCTAAAAATAAACAACTAGGATTGAAGAGGTGGCTGCCACCCGACACCACCCACCTCTTACCACCCACAGACAGTGGGTTCCTTGCCACACCGCCCACCAATCAAGCAATGGCTGCTTTCGCTAATGATAAGCCTTGTTTTGTTGCTCCTGTTGTGGGCGGTGACTGCCCCACAAAATCATTATGATTACGTATTATACAAATACTCGTACTCCCATTGATTTTAATTTGAATGTGGAAATTATCCTTTCGACTGTTGTTCTGTGTTTTGTGTTGGAGCCTAATGCGCTTAAATGCGTAATTATGATGCTCCAGAGAGCATTAAGCCACAGAGGGAGCCAATCGGTTAAATAAATAGGAAAAAGGAACTCTAGCTTTGGGGGTGAATATATTATAAAAACTCCTGACGATGTATCGTTTGTATAACCAGTTCCTAAATTACCAGGATATATGTATATATAGGGATATAGTTTGGATCAAATTTGGTTAAAGTGTGAGAGATAGTCGTGCCCTTATATGAGCTACTTTTCTGCCTGTAAAATCCATTGCAAAGCCCTCCATGAATTACATCAAAGAGCGAAACAAAACAAATTTTGAGTATTATTTTTTTTGGAAAAATGAATAAGGTTTTTATTTACGCATTAAATTCTTGCACATGTGCACAGTTATCTTCAATATATATGTATATATAAGTATATCGGTATATCACTTGTTATGTAATTATAGGCTTTAAGTCCTTTTTTTTTAGATTTATTTTCTGATTTCATTTTTGTTGTTTCTCAAAATAATTACACATACGAGTAGTTTATGACGTGATTGAGTTTTATTCTGTATTGTATTTAAATGAATTTCTCTTTTAAACGCAACGCACAAAAAAATAGCTCAAGCCAACATTAAATTAGATATAGTATGTATGTATTTATTTATTTAATTAATTAAGATTTAGAATTAATCAAACAATAAGTTTAGTTTTTAATGGTAATTAAGATTGCTGCTAACAATAAAACATATTGTATTTATTAAATTAATTCATGAATTCATGTTGTTATAATGGAAACGTTTTTCTCTAAGCTTTTCTCATTTGAAGCCAGCGTCAATGATTGAATAATTAATAATCATATAGTACGAATAAGAGTACTTTAGCATAGTATGAGTTAAGTATTCAAATATGAATAGAGTAATTAGAGTGGATTATTGCAGATGTAAACGAGTGTCAAATGTTTCGGAGAATGAGAAGTGGAGATGTGTACGTGTACGTGTGTGTGTGTGTGTTTTTGTTTGTGTGTGTGGATGCCCGGCTAGAGACTAGATCTAAAACGTAGACGTACGATATATGTATGTATGTAATTCGCTTATATAAAAATATATATTTATACTTATAGAAATATGGGGTTTGTGGTTTTAATTTTTGCAATTTTTAATTGTTTAATTGTGTTTGTTGGTTGTCACTCGTTTTCCTCCTTGAAATGTTTCCATTGCTTAACTCATATTATATATTTATTGTAATTTATTTTATTGAGCACAACACTCAAATATATGTCCGAATGCTTGGCATGCCCTCCATTTACATTTACATTTACTACAAAATACACTTAGCCGAAAGGGGTGCGTGGGGGGTCTGGTTTTATTGGGGTTTACAATTACAATTCCGAACTGCCTTAAAAAACTGCTAGAAATGTGCGTTAAGTACACGCCGCTTTTGGGATCGAAACCCCAAGAAATATGTTTGCCTTAAGTTTACGTTTCATAAAATTTGAATTAGAATTAATTTAAGTAACGGAATTCGCTGAATGCAAACAAAAAGATATATATATATTTTTTTTTTTCAATATATATTTTCGCTAATTGGTTTAAAAGGCTTGCCCAAAAATTGTTTTTAAAATTTAAATTTAGATTGGTGTTTTGTGTTGCTTCGACTATATTTTTAAAGGCTTTTTCTTTCCTTGCAGGAAATACTTATCAAATTTTTAATTTCATAATTTCGCGTTTTAACTAAAAATAAGCCTGGCTCTTCCATAAGCCTTAAATAATTTAAAATTCATTTCATTTTAAATAGAACTTAAAACAAAATTACTGAATGTGTTTTCACTTGGTTGTGTGTGTGGGGAAGTGGCGGGATTCTCATATGATTTTATATGATCTGTGTTTTTTGTTTTGTTTTGTTTTTGTAGTTTGGGTTTGGGGTTTTGGGTTTTCTTTGCCATTTCCTGGTTCCTCGCTCTCATTCATGCTTTGTCTTCCGCTCTTCCATTCGCATTCTTTCTCGCTCGCTCGCTCGCTCGCTCACTGTGTGTCTATTAGCTTTCTTGTTTGTTTTGTTTTTAGTTGGTTAGATTTTCACTCGCATTATTTTCAGATTGGAATGACCTTCATTAGAAACATGTACTTTTTCTTTCGTTTTCTTTATCAATCTTTACAATATCATTATCATTTTGTTGTTTTTTTTTTGTTTGTTTTGTGTATTTTTTTTTTAATGGTTTTGGCTTACGTTTTATGATAAGTTTTTATGCTTTTCTAAATGGTTGTTTTGGCTGTTTTTCTTTCTTTTTGCTGTATTTGTTGCTTATTTAGGAAAGGGTGCGAAATTATGGTATGGTGTTTTTTTTTCTTTTCTTTTCTTTTTGTGTGTGGAGTGTCACTCCCCGGCAATTTTGCTTGGCTTTGTTTTTCTTTTGGTTTTTGTCGTTTCTTCTTTTTTTTTGTTTTCTTGGAAATAGTAAAGTTTCGAAATTTCAACTGACGTTCAAATGTTTTAAATGCATTTAGAAAATAAATAGGATTTTGTATGTGTGTGTGTGTTGGTGTGTGTGTGTGTATTGGTGTGTATTTCGTGTTGTTTGGTTGTGTTGTATGCTTCGAAAATTGCTTCGAATTCTTCAGGAATTATATTTTGAGAAAAAAAAATGTGAGCACCACGCTGGATTGTGTGTTTTTTGATTTGACACGGAACGAAGAAAATCTTTTGGGGGTTGGAGGAAAATCCGCATGAAAGTGCTCTGCTCCTGCGGCATCAGACAGTGAAATCCCCGGCTGCCCAGTTCATCTTGTAGTCATCCATATTGAACAGATCAAAGATATCGCCGCTGGCATTGAACGCATCCACAGCCCCGCCGCCAGAGTCGCCCAAGACACCGCCACCGCCTCCGCTCACGCCATTGCTCGCCATGCTCGTCGTCGTCGTCGACGGTGACGAGTACTCTCCTCCGTGCGATCCCGCCTGTGGCTGTGTGACGGCCTGCATGAAGGAATTCAGGGTGCTCTCAAAGTCATCGCAGTCCATGGGCGTGCCATTGAAGTGGCTGTTCGACGAGTGACTGCTGGAGTCGACAGTTCCATTGCAGTGGCCATGGGGACTGTTGCCATTGCCACCCGTCACATGCTGACTGAGCTGAGCCACAAAGCTATCCGCATCAAAGTCCACATCGGCACCTGGATTGTTGTTCAGCAGCACGCTGTCCGGGCTGCTGGCGTCGAGCAGCTCGTGGATGCACGGCTGCAGGCTGGGGTTGAGATCGCGTCGCAGGCTGTTGTTGTTGGCCCCCTTGGGGTTGGGTGTGCAGTAGGTGTTCGAGTCGTCGCCCATGTCCATCTCGAGCTGCTGCGACATCAGCTCCAGCAGCTCGTACTCGTCAAAGTGATTCAGCTTGGCGTCCGGACTGTTGGGCTTCTCGCTGCCGCTGTGGCTGCTTTTTGGCGGCGTGCTGGGCGGGGGCGTGGCATGATGCTGCTCCAGGAAGATGTCCAGCGTCTTGGCCACGCTCTCGGCATCGATGGAAGTCGTGTCCGGCTGCAGGGGCGATCCCATATCGATATTCTCGATGAAACCGTGCGGCGTGTGCTGCTGGCCACTGCCGAAGCTCACGTGCGAGTCATTGGTGTCCATGGCCATGTCCAGCGTGGCCACAGCCGACTGGGGTGTGGGCGGTGCCTCCAGCTTGGGCACCAGTGGCACAATGCTGGCTCCCCCCGCTGCTGTGGTCGGAGTGGCGGCTCCATTGAACATGGACAACTCAGGCAGGGGCGTCAGCGGCGTAATTGGCTCGAGGGCCGCGCTTTCTGGCAGCTCACCCTGCTTGATGAGAATTTCTAAGACATCGCTGACCTGTTCGGACTTGATGCCCGTCGACTTGCGCTTCACCTGGTTGCTCAGCGGAGCTGGAGCGGGCACGGGCAGCGCCAACGGCGGTGCTGGCGACTGCACAGGCTCCTCTTTGATCTTTACAAGCGGCACCAGTCCGTTGAGAGCTGCTGCCTTGCTGGCAGCCAGCTGCTTGGTGGCCTCCTCATACTGTGGCGGCGGTGCTGTCGTGGGTTTGATGTCCAGTTGGATGAGTTGCTGCTGCTGCGGGTGCTGCTGTTGCTGCTGTTGCTGGAAGTGCGACTGTTGCAGCTGCTGCAGTTGCTGCTGCGTGATAATAGATTTGGCTTCGATGGGAAACACAATGCTGGGCAGGGAGTTTGTGCGTTGGTGTCCATTCAGCAGCTTCTTGGCGGGCACAGCAGCAGCTCCTGGTGCTCCTGCTCCTGCTGCTGCTGTGGTGGCGGTGAGGCTGATATTTCCAAGCGTGTGGGCCGTCATATGCTGATCGTTGAGTCCCACAAGGAAGATGGTCTGATTCCCCTCGTTCCACAGCAGGCCCACATTGTTGTGGTGTGGCGTGGCTGCTGCTCCTCCTCCTGCTCCCGCTGTCAGCGGTTTGGTTGCCTGCAGGATTGTTGCAGTCGTTGTGACTGCTGTGGGCCCGGTGGCAGCAGCATGGGATTTCTTGGCCTGGTTCTTGGCTGGAGCATTGCTTATATGATTGTTGTTGGTCTGGTTGTTGGTGTTGTTGAATGGAATGAGTACAGTTTGTGTCTTTTGCGTGAGCAGGCGCACCTGTTGCTGCTGTTGCTGGTGTTGTTGCTGTTGCTGCTGCTGTTGTTGCTGCTGCTGCTGCTGTTGTTGCTGCTGCTGCTGTTGGAGTACCGCCTGCTGTTGCTGCTGTGCGGCTGCTGCAGCCGCTGCCTTCTGCTTCTGTATTTTGGCCTCCAGCTGCTGCTTTACCACCATCTTCTGGCTGATTGGCGGCGGCGGCTGGTTGGGATTCGTGGCAATGTTGCTGCTGTTGCTGCTGGGGGCGTGCGAAGGCTTTTTGGCCTGCTGTTGGACTCCATTGATCTTAGAAGCACTCGCTGCTGTCGCCTTCACCGTCACCTTGGCCGGTATGCTGCTTGTCTTTTCCACGTGATGTTGCAGCTGCTGCTGCTGCTGCTGCTGCTGTGGCATCACCGTCAGCGTCTGCTGTGGCCCCCCATTCGATGTTGTTGTGGTGATCAGGGTGATCTGCTGTGGCGGCATTGCATTTACCACCGTCTGATGCTGTTGCTGCTGCTGCCGCTGGCGTATCTGCTGTAGTTCCAGCTGCGAGCGCTGCAGTTGACGCTGCAGTTCGTCGATCTTTCGCTGCTGCTCTCGTAGCAACTCTTCGTTGGTCAGGATGATCGTGGCAGTCTGTGGCTGCTGTGGCAGTATCGCCATGGGGTGCGCAGTGTCCATCTGCTGCTGCTGCTGCTGCACCACATCCATCTGCTCGTGCTCCATGCTGGCATCGGACACCAACATGGCCGGTGGAGGGTTGCTGGTATCCATTGCATCGCTGATTGTGATCACCTCCGTTGTATTGGCGGCAGGAGTAGGCGCTGCATTGCTCTCCAGCGGCTCCAGTGGCAGGTAAGGCTTCAGCCGTTCAATTAAATGCGGCTTTGGTCCGGATACTGGCAGATTGCGGCGTTTGAGGTGCTGCTTCAGGTCGGACACCTTCATCTTCTCCAGCCGCGTTATGTCCGTGATGCAGGCACTGCTGGTGGTAGCGTTGGACTCTGCGTAGCTGGTGGCCGGACTGGGCGGTATGGAGGAGCTGACGGACAGCGCTGGCGAGGGCAGTGGCGGTGGATGCTGCACAATCACTGGCGGCAGCACAACAGCAGCAACTGGTGCCTGCTGTTGTTGCTGCTGATGCTGCTGCTGCTGCTGATGGTGGTGGTGCGGTGTGGCTATCAGCGACAGCATGGGCGGTGTGGGTGTGGCCGCTGGCGTGGGCGTGCTCAGCATGGCAGCATCACCAAAGTTCAGGGGAGCTCCGCCCGCACTGCTCGTGATGGATATGGTATTCGGTAGGCTGATCGGAGCCGGAATCGGTGCCGTTTGAGAGGAGGCCAAAGCCGGCACTGTCTTGGTCGTCACCGTGATGCTGTTGTTGTTGTTGCTGGCCGTTGAGGGCGGAGCCGGGGAGGACGCTGCTGCCGCTGCCGCTGCGCTGCTGCTGCTGCTGCATTGGACGACGGCAGTATGGACTGATTCTTGTTGAGGTTATCCAGATACTTGAGCAAGCAGTTCTGCTGCTCCAACATCAGCTGGTAGGAGGTCTCCTCCGGCTGCGTCTGATCCACCTTCTGGCCGGCGGCACTCGGCGGACCCTTGTACTCGTGGAATTTAATGGTGCGCGCCTTGGACACCGGCTTGGACTTGGACTTTTTGCGATTCTTGTCCTTGCCGGGGGCATCCGACTTCATGGAAACGGGTTGCAGATGCAGGCGGGTGATCGCTGGCGGCGGCGGTGAGGCAATGGAAGACAGCGGACTCAATGTGGAGGTGCTGCTGGAGGCCAGGGAGCAGGGCGACGCAAGCATGGGCATGGGCAGGAACTGATTGGCAACTCCCGGACTGGCCGTGGGTCCGGCCACGCTCTGGCAGAGCTCCTCGAACAGATTGGCCGTCTCCGCCTTGACCTTCACGATGCTGGCCATCGGCAGTGGCGGCGGTGGAGGCGGTGGCGGTGGCACAGGCGCTGGCAGCACCATTGACTTCAGCTGTTGCTGCTGCTGCTGGATGATCTGCGGCGTTGTAACCATCAACTGGCCACCACTACTGGCCGTTGGCATTGTCAGGGCCATCGTCACAATTCCTGCGGAGGCAGCGGCCGCCTGCAACACATCCGTGGGTGGTGTGGGTGTGGGTGCCGCTGCCAGCGGCATGGGTGTCACGACCATGGCCTCATCGAGACGTGGCGGCGTCTGTCGTGTGTCGCTCTCGGAGCTGAGGGAGTCCTCATCGAAGGTCACATAGCTGTGCGGATGCTGGGGCCGCGTGAGCAGCCCCTCGCTGGTGGCCTTGAACGAGACGAGGCCCTCCTTCACGATCTTCTCGATGGGCTTCTCCGTGTGCAGGATGTTCTTCTTGATCAGCTCCAGGGGCCCCGGACGGTGCTGGATCTGCGAATTGAGGTGGTCGGCGAGGCGCGCCTTCTTCAGCATGCGCTGCTTCTCCGCCAGACTCGGATCGATGTGGCACTCATCCTCCTCGAGTATGTGACGCCGCTCCAGATCCTCGCGATTGGGCCGCTGCTGGATTTTGGCCTTCAGCAGATCGCTGGTCTTGGCGCGTTCCAGTTGCTTGCATTGTTCGTGGATGGCGGGCGAGGTTTTCAGAGCTATTTTTGTTTTTGTTTGTAAAATATAAAGAAAGAAATTAAATTAAATAATACAAAAATAAAGCTCTTTAAGCTATCTGCCCAGAAGGATAAGGGTCAGCTGAGTGACTCTCTCGCCAGGAAAGAAGTGAACAGCTTTTCCTGGAAAGCAGAAACTTTCCGAGGAATATAAACAATCTTTCATCGTAGCAGTCTATTGTCTGTTTATGCTCCAATTTGAAGAGAGTTTTAGCGCTGAGTAGATACACTTTTATTTGTTTAAAGCCCCTCCAATGATGAGGTGGGTGTATCTTCAATGCATTTTTGAATAACTAAATAAAATAATCCCTCATTTTCTTTGGTGCTCCTGCCTCAAGTATTCTATTCCCCCCCGCCCCATTTGAATGCTGCAAACTTTGGCTACGGATATTATTTTTTTTGTCTCTGGAAAATCTATCATTTAAATTCAAATTTACTTTCACTTTCGCTGGCCTTCGAGAGCTTTGAATTAGTTTGTAAATTTGCGTATTTTTGCTGGATTCCTCCTTCAGGACAGAGGACCTCTCTCTCTCTCTCTCTCTCTTTGTCACGCTTTCCCTTCCTATCTTTCTACTGTCATTTTTTTGATTTAGCTTCTTCCGTTTTCGTTTCATTTTGAGGGCTGCGCATAAATTTGAAAGCCATTCAAATGAAATATATTTGCATATCCTTTTTGGTCGAAAAGCAGATGCTTTGAGCCAAATAAGTGGGGTTAATGCGGATTTTATCGATCTGCGGACTAGCGGTTAAGAGATTCCCTTCACCCCCTCACCAGCCCTCATCGACCGTAGTACTTACATGGTATGATGCCCTGTTCGACCAGCTGCGAGTGGGGTCGTCGCACCATGAGCTTCACTTTGAGCGCTGCAAAAAGCAGAAATATATATAGATATTAAAATATAGTAGGAACATTCAACAAGTTACAAACCCAAACACAAATCATACATAAATTATCGCAGAACAATGCCAGAGATCAAAAAAACATAGAACAGCCATAAAATAGCTGGCGGCAGGGGGAAAAATCTACTCGTAGATAATTTCTGCTGGGATGAACAAAAAACTTTTCCGCCTTTTCCTTTCGATAGCATTTTGACAATGAGGCGCACGCAATAAATGTCGAGCCCACAAAAACACACAAAAGCCAGCTGCAAATGGGCCAAAAAACGAGAACAAAAAAAAAATTGCATGGACAGGAAAAAAAAAACGAAAAGGAAAACTTTTTAATATCTTTATGTGCGGGCGATTATGGTGTGAAGAGTGCGTATACATAAATACATACATACATACATATCTACATATATTTGGCCAGGAACTTTCGAGAGAGTAGAAAGTTTGTGCGTTTGCAAATTAAATATTTAAGCCAGAAGAAGAGACAGGAGCAAAAAAAAAAACGAAAGGGCCTAAGGAACCAACGAGCAGTAGGTCTGGCCCTACCCCCTGGGGCGTATGCGTAATAATCTGATTAGATTCCCACTGCTTTTCGGCTTGACTAAATGACAGATTGATGTCAATTAACTTTGGCGACGGCTGCCACTCGAAGAGGCACACACACACAGACACACACCCACCCACAAAAATGAAGGAAGTGGCTGTAGGAAAATCGTATTGATTACGCTGGCTGGATTTCACTTAAGATCCAATTTCAATTATAAACGAAAACTGTAGCCAAAATTAATCAATTGATGGGGCATTAGTCGCCCCTTCGTTCGTTCATTAGCTCCCAAAATGGATGCCTTAAATGCTAAAGCTGCCGCTGCCGCTGCTGCTGCTGCTGCTGCTGCATTTCGGTAATGTAATGTTATTCTGGTTCATGCTTTGGCATATTAAGCATACGACCTGTTTTCACAAATAACATTATCTTCAATTAGCATTCAGGACAGAGCAGAACAGAGCACTGGCGCAGGGGCAGGAGCAGAGCACAAAATGTTTCACAAAATGACCAACCAGCCATATAATTAAAATGAAATAATGCGAATTACGCACAAAGCAGGGTCTTAGAGGATCTACAGGGATGAAGGAGTATCCAGAAATGAAATGTTAACACAAAAAAAAAAATATACACATGGGGAATATGGTAGCTGGTATTCCTTTTGTGGCTTGGGTGCCGGATGCAAATGCATTTACAGACCCTTTTTGGCCCTGGCCTGCGGTTTCCTGTGTAGTACTCGTACAGCATTATTTTTCTCTGCAGCAGCAAAGTAAAATGGGTTAGCTGGGCGCTGTGCGCTGTGCGCATATTTCTGTGACAAGCAGCAGACACCTAAAAACGAACGAACTGAACACTTGACGCCACAACAAAGTCGACATCAAAGTGACGATGACGTTATTAAAGTAATTTAGGCTCTTTGTCGGAAATCATCATAAAAAACAAAGAGTCAAGAGAGCTGCCAAGGCGCGTAATTGTCTCAGACGGAACGGCACAGTGGCAGAACGGCAGCTGTTGACTGAACGGGACGGGCGGGCGCCCAGCCCGATTTTACGATTGAAGTGTGCCACACAAAAATGTACGCAAAAAAAAAAACAAAAAAGAAGGCAAGGCAACAGCAAAAAAACTAAAAATCCAAGGTTGCCGAATCGTTTGATACTCTTTGCCGCAGAGCATATGTTAAGCATCTGCTTGCAATCGTAATACCCTCGGCAGCAAAAAGGGTATACAAAATTCCAAGAAGCTCAGCTCTTGTTTTTGTTTACAATTCTGCCAGTGCGAAAATATTTTGGCCATGTAACAAACACACAAAGGGGACTCCTACCCAATGACGACACACTGTCGCTCTCCTTGAGAAATTAATTATGCGCGAAATTTGATTTTTCTTCTCTTTTTTTTTTGTGTCTGCTTTGGCTGTTAAATCTTCCGATACTTCTGTTTACGTTTCACGTGGGCCGCAATTGATAAAAACAATAGCATAAATTCCAAATTAAACACATAAAAGTTAAGGCAATAAAATTGTGTAGACATTTTCTCCACCTACAAGAAATTTTCTTTTCTTTTCTTGTTCGCATTGTTTGCGGTTAGACGGCTGGGCGGGGCGGGGCGGGCCCCTCCCTTCTATGTGAGCAGACTCCGAGAGGGTCTCCCCTCCCCACACGCGAAAGCTGACCGAAAGACGAAGGTCAGGTAAACAATTGTTAAAAGAGAGAGAAAAGCAGCACATAAAGAGAGAACGAGAGTGGGACGAGAGAGACTAACAGATACGAGTATATAGATATACATACATATATTGTATTATAAAATCGATTACGTGATCAAACGATGGCGTCTTTTTTTGCCCATCATCAGTGCTAGGAAAATGAATGAAATTGCAGCCAGAGCGCCACACACAGTGGGCTAAATAAGAACGAAATTTGACAGTAAAACATTACACATTTTTGGAGACATTAATAACATTTTTTAGAAAATGTAGTTTTCCTTTCCAACAAATATCTATATACATATGTATATTCAACGGTTCTCTTTGGATCTACTGTAACCTTCTAAGGTTAACATAGTTTCCATTCACACAAAAAAAGCGGCCCTGGTGTCATAATTTAAATGCTTTTGTTAGCTAGCCACAGCCACTGTGCCCCAAAGAGGCCTTGCTGCAACTGCGGCTCCTAAATCAGCAGCCTCTTTTCTCCTCTCTCTGCCCCCTCTTGGTGTCTTCTGGGGATCGCGTGCATCGTGTTTATTTGTCAAAACATTTTGCAGCACCACCGACACGGACACGGACACCGACACCGCCACTGCCACTGCTATCGACGCCCCATCATTGACTGTGTGTGTGTGTGTGTGTGTGTGTGTTGGCCATGTGTTTATAATAAATTTGTTGGCAAAATGTTTACACCCAAAACTGTGGACTGTGTGGCAGTGGCAGCTTTCTAGCTGGTGGTTGCGGCTAAATATGCAGTTTATTGTTAGATAACTTTTTGGGCGCCTGCCGGAAACATTTTGCCAGCCTGCCTGCCTCTGCCCCATTCTCACATTCTCCCATTTTGTTTTTTTTTATTTGTCAGTTTTTGGCTTGAAAAAAAAAACCATGCAAATTCATAAATATGTTTGAAACCTTTTGTCAGGGTCAGGCAGCGTGTGAACTTCTTTCGGTTTGTTGGCATTTCCGGTTAGCCCCAACAACAACAACAACAACGAAAATGCCATGCAAGTGATGCAGGCGACACGAGCTGTCAAAACTATTAGCGAGTATGCATCCGCCATCTCATCCCATGCCACAGACAGACAGACAGACAAACACACACATGAAATCCAATGGCTCGACACACGGCTGTCATCTTTTTGGCCATTCAAAATTAATAAGAATATTTCTCTTCACTCGAGAAAATGCCAAACGAAAATATGTAGGCCAGCGAGGGAAAAACTGTTGACAAAATAGAGAACAATTTTCAGTCTATGAATGGGTTCCCGCTGCGATGCCGAATGCCCCAAGTGCCTGCCTGTTGCGCCTGTGACAGCTTCATTAAAACTTGTTGTAAATGCGGGGAAAACGCTCTCTAGACGGTGATGCTTCTGCTGCTTGCTTGCTGATGCTGCTGCTGCTGCTGCTGATGATGATGGGGAAGCAGCATTTATGACTAACCAAAAACCAATGGCATAGGCACACACACAAAACCAAAATGACAAATGCCAAACAGCCGCCACAAGATGGTTCTTTTGGGCGTGGGCGTAGACTCTGATCTAGGGCCCAACAAACAGTGCTCTTCTCCTCTGCCATTCAGCATTCCGAATTCAGTCTGTTTGGGGCTACTCACATTCTTTGTTCTTGTCCATGGCTGGCTGCAGGGGACTGGAATCAACGATGGCCTTTGGCGGCGATTGTCTGGCATCGTAGCAGTCCGAATTGTTGCCATCATCGCTGCTGCCCAGAAATGTAGCATGCAGTCGCTGCTCACCTGGAAAACACACACAATGAGAAACGCTAATGAAAAGGATACCGTCCAAACAGAAGTCGGCGACTTACCCTCTGACATATCGTCGTAGGCCTCGTGCAGCAATATGATATCCTGAAAGGAGTGCTGCAAGGCCTTGCCACTGAGCCTGGTGGCCAGCAGACCGCTGCAGGCGGCGTTCGAGATTAGCTCTACGGTGGTCAGTGGCGATGTGGATATGGTGGCCAGCAGCGAGGAGCTGCCGCTGCCACTGCCACTGCTGCCGCTACCGCTACCGTTGCTGCAACCGCTGCTGCCACTGCTCAGGCTGTGCAACGAGGCGGACTTCACCAGTTGGCCCACCTTCTGGCAGCTGTTGCTGTTGCCGTTGTGCGTCTTCTGGGTGGCCTTGAGCGTCCGTGCCAGCCCCTTGGTGGGCGACGTGGATGTGGATTTGTTGTGGAAGCGGCTCGCCGTCGCTGCACCACCCCCACTGGAGTGGGAGCTGCAACTGCTGCTGCTGCTGCAGCTGCTCAGGCTGCTGCTGTTGGACTTCTTTGAGCAATTGGAGCTAATGGAGGAAGCAGGCGATGCGGAGCTCGAGCTGTGGCTCAATATCGCTGTCTGTTGATGCTGCTGCTGCTGCTGCTGTTGGAGTGTATGATTGTTGTTGCTGCTGGCGATCTTCGTGTCTATGGTAATGGGTATGACACTGTGGCTGGCCACCAATTGGTGCTGATGGTGCTTATGGTGCAGCTGCAACTGCTGTTTGCTGGCTGCTGCTACTGCAGCACCCGTGCTGCTCTGAAACCAACTGGGAAAATTACCCTTGAGCGTGTCAAATAGATCCTGATCGAGCGTTAAACGCCACGATGCAGGTCCTCCGTCCACGCTGTGCGTAGACTCTGAAAAAAGATGAAAAGAAAATTTGGTTTGCGATTAGTATATTGTGGTGTTTTTTTTACGGTTATGTTTAATATATTAATAAATCTATAATTAATATTGAATTTATCTTTTAAATGTAGGAACGTGTTTACTAAACCAGCTTTCTCCCTTCCAAAATAACAACAAACTTTAATGAGTCGGAGATTTGCAGAATAAAGGGTGTCTTTGTGATCGCGAAGGCCCAACTGTATAGCAATAAGATAAGATCAAAATAAAGAGAAAGAAACTACGCAGCAAAAAAGATTGTTTTTGGTTATTCCTTATGCTTATTTACTGAGAGCGAAAGTTTTTGTTGTTGTTGTTTTTGCTGAGAGAGCAAACGCAGGTGGTCGCACTGTAGCTCAAGCTTAATGCAAGTCCCTTGTATTTGCTGAGAGCAAGGTCTGCGAGAGAGAGATAGCGTCTTCGTCTCAGCCGAGTGTGGCGCATTGTTGTTCTGTAGGGAGCAAGTTTGCGGAGCAGCTCGCAAGGGAGTTTAACATGATCGGACATGATCGAAAGAGAGATGACAAAAATGAACTTACACACATGTAAATACAAGAATCGAAGCAGCTGGGAATCGGAAGCCGAGAGTACCAGCTTACTGTTGTTTGGTTCTCAGAGAGTGCAATGGCACAAAGCTTTGGCGAGAGAGTGTAGCATTGCGTGAGAGGAGCAAAGCTCGTAGGTAAAATGCAGATCAAGAGATAAGACAATTGCGACGGCAGTGCAGCTCCAGTGAAAATACACGAACAAACATAAACCAGAACTGAGCTGCAGGTTTACACTGTACACCTAATTTCATTAGGATTTTTTATTAGTTTGAAATTAAATTAATTAAATATGCCCTCTCTTGAGTCTTTCACTTTCTATCTATTCTATCTGTATGCTCTTTGTTTTTCCATCTCTTTTAACACATTTATTTATTCAAATGCTTCACCCTTTGGTGGCACAGAGCAGGCAACTCTTCCTCTTGTGTGCTAGTTATTTATGCTAAACACTAAACGCTGCCAAGTAACCTAGTTTGTGGCACCACCAACCAACCCATACAGCCCATCCGCCCCCCTCCTGTTTGGGGGGCATAGAAAACATAGCAAAGCGCGTAATTTGTATTTATTTAACAAATTATTTTCAACATCTCTTCAGTATCTCTCTCTCTCTTTTTGTTTCTTTCTTTGTATCTCTCTCTCTCCCTCTTTGTGTTGCTTTCTTTGTATCTCTCTCTCTCTTTATTCTAGATTCCCTTCTCTGTTTACGCGTTGGCCGAATCGAGTATTTCTCCGAGTTTTAATGGCAAGTTTTTACTCGAAAATATCGTTGAATGGGATGCATATCGAAAAGTGCAAATAAAATGATTCGCAATGAAATGCCGCCTATGCGGCATGATTTAACTGGTGGCGACAGTAATGCGAATTGCGACGAAAAATCTTGGCACTTGGCACTCCGCCGCCGCATTGGGCATTGCATCATGCTATCATTGCCCCAAAGCGGACATTCCCAGACACCCCACAACTTATGCAATAATCTTTATTTTAGCCACTATTTCGGGGGGGTATAAATAGGTGGTCGGTTTAGAACCTTTATAGAGTACCAACCCAGACATTAGACTCTGATGGGGCGGACAGACGGAATGACATGCACTTGTCAAATGTTTTTCTTTTTTTTTCGGTTATTTTTGGCAAATGTTCTTTTTGGCTTTTTCCTTCCACTTTGATTGTTATTTCTGTTTCTGTACGGAGCTTAAAAAGGTTCTGCATACATTGTTATTGCGGCTATTAATACCCTGTAGAGGACAGCGGCAGCTGTTTCTCCTCCCCCCCCTCCTCAACACACTGTAAGCTGCTGTGACGTGGGCGAGCGCTGTGACACTTTCATGCTTTCAGTTTTCTGTTTTTCTGCTCTGTCGTTTGTTGATTTAAACTAAATTTGAAATCGCAATGCAAATAAATAGATAAATATGCCATTCTCTGTGCCGCTGTTGCTGCTGCTGCTGCTGCCGCTTCTGTTGCTGTTGCATTTATTGGTCATTAAAGCAGAGCGCCAACAAACCAAACAAACATGCACCACGCGACGCGACGCCACCCACCGAAACACACACAATCACACGCCTTTGCTTGCAGCATAGCTTTGATGCTTGTTGCCCCATTCTATGTGCATGGTGGCGCGACATGTTGTCCACACGCAGGCACATGGCCTGAGACCGTGCCACCAAAGCCATTGCCAATTCTATTTTTGTGTCAGCCAACAGCCAGCAGCAGCAGCAGCAGCAGCAGCAGCGAATGCAAGTGGTTTCTCTTGGCCACAACACACACTCGTCTTCAACTTTCAGGGGCTGCATACAAGTGGCAGGGGCACAGGCGGCAGGGGGGCAGGCGGCAGGAGACAACAACGCCTTGGCCATTACAATTTGTCACTGCTTGCATGAAACCATGACAAAACAATAGAAAACACACAGAAAGGAAATGAGAGTGAAAACCTAATGGTACGTGAAAAAAGAACAAACCAAAGGGTGGGTCTAAATACAGCGGAAACATTAATATTCTACGAATAATATTTTATATTTTAATATTTTATTCAATAGAGAAATTATGGCGAGCCTCGTTGCTATTAAGGATTTAACAATCAAGGGAAGGATAAATATCAAACGTTTGTTGATGAATCAATAGAGAAAACATACACACTCCCACAGATACAGAGAGAAAGAGTGGCGGAGTGGAGGAGAGAATGGGAGATGCAGAGAGAAAGTGTAGAGGTGAGAGTGGGCGAGTGGGAGAGACAGGTGTACTTTCAGTTAAAGGAAAAGGCTTCGAGGCGTTGACAAAACTATAAACTTGAAGGCATGACAGCATCAGCTCTGCTCTGCCCCCGTTCTGCAGATATACACACAAGGGTTGAGGTTCAGTCAATTGGAACAGTTGTAAAACCAAGAAAATACAGCTATCTATGGAAGTACAGCCCAGTGGATACCCTGGAATATATATGATAACTATAGAAGCTATAGTAAATAGTGTTCCAATATGATATGAGAGCGTTCCAAATGATACTTGCACGAAAGCATCTTCTCACGATTATCTGCTCTTGAAATTACTTGCTTTCTTTTCTGGTTCAAAATCATATTGACCCCTTGAACAGGGAATCATAAAGGACTTGTAGCACTCAGCACTTAGTTTGATTTCATGGGCAAGGAGCAGGGGAGGCCCATGGCCCAAGGACTAAGGAGGCTCCATGACCAAAACTAATCATTCAGTGGCCGTAGCGGAAGTTCAGGCGGAAGTTGTAGCACATTCCATTCCTCACCTACAAAAGTGAAAGTGTGTGTGTGTGTGTGTGTGTTTGAGTCTATATATATTTATGTGTGTGTGTGGCATCGTTACTTCCAGAGCAAACATCAATTATGTATGGGGCTGGGCACGGTGGCACGGTGGCATGGTGGCATGGAATAGTGTAGATGCCAGGAGCCATACACGAATCAACGCGCCGCAAAGTATGCTACAACATTGAGGTCGCTTTGTGCCCCCAGCACCTACCACCTGCTGCTGGGTGTGCTTGGGTGGTGTGTGGCAAGACGCAACTTCCCTTTTTTTGGGGGGCAGGACACACAGAGGAAACAGGATGCTGTTAACGTTACAATTCAACATAATCGATGCTTGTCGTACGAGTGTGCTCGCATTTAACCTGGCAATTTGTCGGCTGCTGCATAAACATTCAGTTTTATTTGCAGTTTATCTTCTGGCCCTTCCTTGCCGATAAATCAAAAAGTGAACACTGCAAGAAACCCACCCACCTGCCTGCCTGCCTGCCTGCCCGCCTGTGCCATTTGTCTAGTCACGTGCCAAATTTATTGCTCATCAAATGAAAGAAACGATGGCATTTAATTATTAAAAAAAAAAAAAAACACAAACGTGCTATCCACTGACTTCTTTGGCCCCGCACCAGCTTCAAATCGTGACCACTGCAAAAAAAAAAAAAAAATAGAAGAAAACTGCAATCGAAGTGATGCGACATTTACATATTCATTTGAATGCCAATAACAGCTGCAGCAGCAGCAGCAGCAGCAGCAGCAGCAACAGCAGCAACATCGCTGCTGACAGCTTCGACAAGCGCAAACGAAAGGAGGATTATGCAAGCGCCATGAATACCAGACAAAAAATAGAGAGAGATAGAGAGAAAGAAAGAACAGCAGAATAGCAAAACAACATAGAAAGAACAAATTCAAATGTATCCGAACAACAAATACTCGGTAGCCCCAGTGCCATGTGTCGCTGTCGCTGGTTGGGTGGGTGGCTGGGTGGGTGTAGTGTACGCTACGATACTCGTGGGTAATCCGCTGGGGTACAATGTGTATAAGGCTGCAAATTGAAACGTATATTTGTAAACAATACGCAGACGTCATAGACAAAAACCAAAAACCCATTTAGATGCGCGCGGGGGCAAAAAAAAAAATACAACACACGTACTCGTACTCGTACATAGTACATCCAGCGAAACAGAATAGAAAAATACACCATAAAAATAACAAGAATGAAAGTATTGAGTTTTGGCTAACCGAAGATACAGATACTCTAGCAGATATGCGGGGGTGCATGGGAAACAAAGATAAATTGATGGTTAAAAATATAGATTCAAGCTGCTTGCACGCAGATTTAAATAAATAAATCTGCAAAAATAGAAGACATGACTTCTGGAGGAGCGTCGCTGCCTCATTACGTAAATGAAAGAGAGAAAATATAGAGATCGAAATCCTGTTCCCTAATAGCAGCAACAATCCTTCCTTTTCTTTGCCCTTTTTCAAATCAGTATTCATAAACATAATACCCTTACTCAAAAGGGTATACTCAAATGAAAAGTACTTTTCGCCAGAGCTAAGAAATCGTTTGGCGATTGCCAAGCAAATGACTGAATGGAGCTCGCTGTACTGTGCTCTAGCCGCGTTTCATTTCATTTCATTTTGGTCATAATGCTGGAAACGTGTTTTTCCACT